TGTGGTGAGGCGGGTGTGTGGTGGGGCGGGTGTGTGGTGAGGAGGGTCTGTGGTGAGGGGGGGCTGTGGTGAGGTGGGGGTCTTGGTGGGGCGGTTCGTAGTGAGGGGGGTCTGTAGTGAGGCGGGTCTGTGGTGAGGCGGGTGTGTGGTGGGGCGGGTCTTATTGAGGTGGGTCTGTGGTGAGGCGGGTCTGTGGTGGGGCGGGTCTTAGGCGGGTCTGTTGTGAGGTGGATCTTAGTGAGGCCGGTCTGTGGTGGGGCGCTCGGTTAGCTGCGCGGGTCTTACGTTGAGGGCGCGGTCTGTGGCTGAGGCGGTTCTTAATTGCGGCGGGTCCTGTGTGTGGGCGTGTCTGTGGGTGAGGGCGCGCGGTCTTGGTCGGAGGCGCGCTTCAATGAGGCGGGTCGTGTGGTGAGGCAGGTCTGTGGGTGAGGCGGATGTTAATGAGGCAGGTCCGTGGTGGGGCTCTTAGGTGCAGACGGCTGTCGGTGAAGGCGTCCTGTGGTGGGCGGCGAGGTCTGTACCGTGAGGCAGGTCCGTGGTCGAGGCGTCTGTTGGTGGGGTGGGTCTTAGTGTGAGGCGGTCCGTAGGTGGGGAGGTCCGTCGTGGGGCGGGTCTTAGTGAGGCGGGTCCGTAGTGGGGCGGGCCTTAGTAGGGCGGGCCTTAGTAGGGCGGGCCTTAGTAGGGCGGGTCTGTAGTGAGGCGGGTCTGTAGTGAGGGGCAATTGTTCCTCATCAGCCTCCCTCTGGACCTTCCACTCACTGGGATTTTGTAAAACATCTACTTTAAAATATGTCCGTGAGAAAAGCCCCCATTCCTCCACACCATCTGTTCGCCTCTCCCCGATTTTCTGGGATTAAAGTATAGGCCTGCAATCCCCTACCCCCAATTCTAAAGCCCAGAAAGCTCTGAAAACAGGAAGATGTTCCCCGCAAGGTGGCAGCAAATTCACTGGGCAGTGATCCCTGACCTGAAGGGCTGTGAGGGCTTCATGTCCATGCGGACCCCACTCCTTCTGAAGAAGTGCTGATGTGGCTGTGAGAGCTGACCCGCGCCCCGGGGTTCTGTGGCACACTTCCGCCACATAGCCTGAATGCGCTGGAATTCTGAATACGCTCGGCCTCAGGGACAGTGGGGGTGGGGTTGGGGGAGCCCCACCTTGCAGCCATCGACGTGGGGACGTCACGCTGTGGTCCCAGTCTCCTGGGAATTCAGTCACGAGGTCACTGGCATTATTCATCGCGTGCTGCGAGCAGGTCAGAGTCGGCCTCCTGAGAACGCAGCTCTGGATGGCTCCTGCCAGGAGCTCAGACCCGCCAGACGGGCTCCTAAGCTCTGGGATTAGAGAACAGTTTTCTGAGCTGTTTCTGTCAGTGTTTTATTTTCAGGTGCGCCAGGATCTCATGTGAACCTTTAGAGCTGCAGCCCTGACCTCCCTCCCACTCCCTCTGGAGCCAGAGCTGGTTGAAGGGCCATGTCTCTGATGGTCCTGGGCTTCCCATCTCCATGCCTGGGTGGAAACCCTGGCATCTGATGAGGAAATGATCACACAACCCCACAGAACCCTGCCCAGCGGCTGGTGCTGTCACCCCAACCCTCCTCCCCCTGCAGCCCAGCTCTGCAGGGTGGGGTGTCCATGCTTGAACCAGGAGACCCTCTTCCTGGCTGATACTTTCCAGCCCCCTTGGCTCCAGGCTGAGCTCCTGGGAAAGGGGCAGACCCCACACACAGGTGGGGGCGGCACTGGGCTACCTCTGTCTGGGAACTACCCCATCCAACTGTCCTCTCCAAAGGCAGGAGGGGCCTCAAATCACTATTTCAATTTCTCAGTGGCTTTGGGTGCAAACTGGCTCATTTCTGTGGGTCTGTTGGGGGGACTGGCCTGCATTCAATACCCCTCACCCTACCCTGCTGGGTGGCCCTGTGGAGGGCCCTGGGGACACCCTGCTGCCTGGTCAGCTGTTTCTGGTGGGCCCCCGCAAGGCAGGCAGGCATGTGCCTCCAGCGCAGACCCTCCCCTGCTACCTAAGACCCTTCACTGTGCACCATGGCCTCCCCCAACCCCCTACCCAGCAAGTCCCCTCCTCATCCCCAGGCCCCCGCCGGCCTCTGTGGCCCAAGACCGTCCACTATGCACTGAGGCCTCCGTCCTCATCCCCAGGTCCCCACCAGTCTCTGTGGCTGCTTCCCAGAAGCTGCGTCGCTGACTTAGTTCCTGAGACACCTGCTCATCTATATTCCGTGTTGCCTTCAACTGGGAAGATTTGGCACCTCCTGAGCCTCCTGCCGCCCCTGAGCGATTCCCAAAGTCTTCACCTCATCACACACAGAACATGAGAACTTGAGTCACTCAGGGAAGAAAAAGGAGCTACTTGAAAAAGTCAAGGTTGTCGTCTGCCCAACTCCCCAGTTATTCCAGGCAGCCGTCTCCCCAACTCTCCAATTCTTCCAGGCAGCCATCTCCCCAACTCCCCAGTTCTTCCAGGCATCTGTCTGCCCAACTCCTCAATTCTTCCCCAGTTTGCAAGACACCTCTCGCAAACTACTATAGTTCAAAAATCTATACTCTAATAGATTTGACTACTATAGTTCAAAAATCATTCATCTTATTTTTGTTTATCCACAAGAAAGCCTTGCCCTGTTTCCTTAAATAAGATACCAGAAAGGGAGTTTAGTTGTGGATTCACTTCATTAAAGGTGTAAGACTTATTGTAAGAAGCTGGATCTATTGTGAGTTGTGGCAGAGAGATCGGGAAATCTACACACGTCTTCTTTCATACACAGCATGCAACAGAGGGAAAGCAGGAATGGTAATCCTAACAGAAAGTACCATAAAATTGGTTATTTCCCCTCGAATTGTATGTCATAATACTTAATACTAACCCTATCCCTAGCCCTACCCCTAACCCACCTAAACCTCACCCTAAACACCCTATCCCTAACCTCCTAACCACCGTAATCCTAAACACCCTAATCTGAACCCTAACCCTTAAAGAATCGCTCTGGGCCTGCCTGGCTTTCCCGAGCCTGAGCATGTGAACGAACCTGACCCGCCCCCTCCATTCTCTCTGGGCTCCTCCATCCTGTGTCTGCTGAGCATTGCTCACAGACCCAAGCCCCATCCTGTTCAGCCACCTTGACTTGCTGGGGGACCACAAGAGGAACATAGCTGTGACGCTGCCAGCTGAGCCCGGCCACATCTGGGGCTTCCACACAATGCTCTCCCCAAACAGCAATGCTTTGGATGCAGATGGGAGGCATCCTGAAGCTGGGACAAGGGCTGGGCAGGGGCTGGTGGCCGGTCTGGCAACGTAAGCAAGCCCCTGGCTTTCCCTCTGCTCACTGCCTTGGCTCTCTTCCTCACTCTTGGCTCTCTTCCTCACTCTGTGACTGAGCGCGT